GGAGACGCGCTGCAGCTTTGGGGAGCCCCTTGTGCCTTTGGGGAGAGAGCTCCGGCCCCCCCGCCGCCAGGCCGCAGAGACACCGCGGCGTGTCAGAGACGGAGCGGGCCAGCCTCCGCACAAGGGCCTCTCGCCATTTCTCCCACCAGTGATGCTAAGGAAGAGACAGCCTCGCTTTGTCCCTGAGTGGGGTGCGAGATGGCCAGACTCCCATGGGACACTTTGGCTTTATTAAAACTAAAGGTGAAACTCCAATCGGCTACTCAGATAGGGGAGATTTGGTCGCTCCGTTCCCCCATAAACGTTATTGGAAAATTCTTGTCCTTCAATACCTTCAAATCAAATTCTAATATAAAACAGTCTAAAGTACTGTAATCTCTGTGGGAAACGTCTGTCCAATTGTCAGTAGCTTGTGTTGCCTTAATTCATTATTACATTGTTGCTATAGAGCAAAGTCCTACATTCTCAGAAAGGTGTAAGGGGCTAGATTTTTATCCCAGTTACATCACTACAAACCCATAGGGACTCCATTGACTTCAGAGTACTTACCCTATTATACGTGCACAATAACAAGCAATCAGAATCTGTGTGTGAAGCTTTCTTACTTTCCCCCCATCAATTTTCCCTTTACCCTTCATTTGCAATATGTGAATAGGTGAAAATAAGCCTTTGCCATGCCTGATAAAGAGGGGATTCTTAAATCACAAATTCGGATAATCTTGGAGATTGATTATCTCCAGAGCTTTCTTTTCAAAATCAGTTTCTTTATTCCACATTGTGTCTCCTCTTTTCTATCCTCCACAGGACCTGCATTTCCCTAGTCTGAGTAAAATTGTAGGGCTCTCCTTTCAGAACCCATCAAAACAACTCCCAGTTTAGCCAGAGGGTTGGCTACACCATGAGATGAAGTGTAACTTCCCAAAGTAGTGAATATGCTGCCTATGCTGAATATTCTTCTCCATGGCCAGTGCAAAGACAGGGCTGTCAATGCTAACGTTGGCCAGTTCTTTCTCTATTTGTTTTGAGTAGTCAGTTATGGCCTCCTCAGTTAATCCGTTTTTTCTTTAAAGTACTTTGGTACTTGCAGAAGTTGCTACATAAATCAGCAAATAATAATAGTAAAATATGAAATAGTACCAGTCTCTGCAGTTTGTTCATTCTTCGCTGGTAAGCTTTGTGTCTCTCTTTTTCCGGTGAAAGTGTCTCTTGCACTTTGGGAAGAATTGTAGAGGATTATTTAA